TCATTTTGACGAAAATTACCTTCTTTACAAAATCAGTGAGACTTCCAATTAAACCAATGTGCAGATTCCTTTCGTCAGCTTCATTACCAGTTGAGGCTATACCATTTGTACAAGGAGTTATACAAGGGGCATCATAGTCAACTATTTGAAAATTGACCTTTCTCTGCTTTCGCCGACGCTTAAGATACAGTCTTGAACGCTTAGTAGTTTTTTTCTCTCTATGTTGGCCTGCATCCTCGCCAACTATGGGCGTAACAGCTGCAGAGTCATCCTTAGGACAGTCATTGACAGCAGAAGAGAGCCGCTGCCTTTTCTTTGATGGCTGAACGTTGTCATCCCTCTTTCTTTTGTTTTCATGGACTGACAATGTCTCTATACCATGGAGAATGAAAACTTTACCAAGTTAATATGAACCAAAAACCAGAAGCTGATAATAGATGGCCAAGCAGTCACAAAGACAAAAATCACAAAGTATTCGGAGAACCAACAACTGGAAGTTTCAAAAGAAAGCCAACACAAGAGATATGATCTGGGTTCTTAGAGCATATATTTACGGATATAGAATTTTTCTTTCTAGCTAGGATACAAGTATAATACTGAGACTCACCCTTTTTCTTGATACATAGAGGAGGTCCAGACACTTGCTGGTGTCTTTTCCCTAGTAATGGTAAGAATATTGATGTTTGCTGTAGAAGATAAACCATGACATCATGACCGACCTACAAACAAGGGAACTGGAATATTAGCGACCGCAAACTCGAATACTGAAAGTAAATCATCACGAGGGGTATACAACAAACCCGGTTGAGAAGAAACTCCCAAGATGAACTTGTCAATAACTCCAAAGTAGGGCTCGACTGATCATACTGTCAAACGATGAACAGAAAGAGAAACAATGAGTTATATTTACTAAACATTGAGTTTGAGAAGGAAGAAGAAGAGTTCAACCTTATCAAATCTTGCACATATCACATTTTGGCAATCACATCCAGATTGCATCATCTCAATAATCCTTTCCACAATCTGAAAAACGTAATTGAAGTCATATGTTTAAAAATCGGCAAAATCATACAAAAGAAGATAAAATAGATACGTCTTGAAATATCTCAAATTAAGAACTCAAAGCAATTCATAGTACATTGCGAAGCAGATTTTTTACCTCTTTCTGTGACCACCAAAATGTTGGCGAGAAATCCAGAAGCGGAGGGGTTTGTTCTTGAAGTACAACGAAGCATCTGTGAAGAAGTTTACGGTAGTGAATAGGATCATCGGAACGCAAAAGAAACGCCGATTTATCGCTGCTGCAACCGAGACAACCTTGTCCCCGGCACCGGCATTTCTCCAGCTGGATATTCCGGTTAGGAATCAGATCTACGATTGCGTCGTTTAAATTCCTGGCTCTGTTTCCGAATAACCTCCATAGAATCTCCGGCACACTACGTCTAGGTTTACGCGGCATTTCACGTGAACGAGCTTCGATAATGGAGTCTGGTGGTGTGAAAGAGGCGGGAGATTAAAGGTCTGCTGGGTTCTCGAAACTATAAACTCCGATTTTACTGATTTTGAAAATTTTCAAAACATTTCAAAGCCGAGCTACAAACGCTAGCCAAAGCGTCCACCCAACCGCAAACGCAGGTCGCCTAACACATAAACCGAATATAAAACCGAACCGAAATTCGCTTTAAATTTAATCGGTTTATTACTTCTTTTTTTCTTTTCACATCCAGTTCCATTACTTTCTACTTTCTACAGTACTTTCTTCAAATTTCTAATCCAAAACCGGATTATAATGCCGAACCGAAAGACTTTGGTTCTAAACTTTAAGCTTAAACAAACCGAATCGAACCGAATTGATTTGTTTGGTTTAAACGGAGAAATCACCCGCCACTTCTAGTAACTCTAGTATGATCCGCCGCCTTGTCACCCTCAGAGCCGCCGCGAAATCACACCAGCACCTTAAAGTCTCTCTTTTCTCCACATCGGCGCTGGAGATAACGCCGCCGTTTATTCACAAATGCAAAACCATTTCTCAGGTCAAACTCATTCACCAGAAACTCCTCTCTTTCGGAATCCTAACCCTGAATCTCACTTCCCACCTCATCTCCACCTATATCTCCCTCGGTTGTTTATCTCATGCCGTATCTCTCCTCCGTCGTTTTCCTCCTTCTGACGCTGGTGTCTACCATTGGAATTCACTCATTCGCAGCTACGGCAACAATGGCCGCGCCAATAAATGTCTCTCTTCGTTCTGCCTTATGCATTCTCTGTCATGGACGCCGGACAATTACACATTCCCCTTCGTCTTCAAGGCTTGCGGCGAGATCTCCTCCGTTCGTTGTGGAGACTCTTCTCACGCGCTTTCTCGGGTGACTGGATTTATGTCCAATGTCTTTGTTGGGAATGCGCTCGTTGCTATGTATTCCCGTTGTGGCTCATTGAGTGATGCACGGAAGGTGTTCGACGAAATGCCTGTTTGGGATGTTGTATCGTGGAACTCTATAATAGAAAGTTATGCAAAGTTAGGCAAACCTAAGATGGCGCTTGAAATGTTTAGCAAGATGACCAATGAGTTCGGATTCAGACCTGATGATATTACCCTTGTGAATGTTCTTCCTCCTTGTGCTTCCGTTGGAACTCGTTCACTAGGGAAGCAATTTCATGGTTTTGCAGTCACAAGTGAGATGATACAGAATATGTTTGTAGGGAATTGCTTGGTGGATATGTATGCAAAGTTTGGGATGATGGATGAGGCAAACACGGTGTTTTCGAACATGCCAGTGAAGGATGTAGTATCTTGGAATGCTATGGTTGCTGGGTATTCCCAGATTGGAAGGTTTGAAGATGCTGTTAGGTTATTCGAGCAGATGCAGGAAGAAAAAATAAAAATGGATGTTGTTACTTGGAGTGCTGCTATTTCAGGGTATGCTCAACGGGGCCTTGGATATGAAGCATTGGGTGTGTGTAGGCAGATGTTGTCTTCTGGGATAAAACCAAATGAAGTCACGCTTATTTCGGTTCTTTCAGGTTGTGCTTCTGTTGGAGCATTGATGCATGGTAAAGAGATTCATTGTTATGCCATCAAATATCCCATGGACTTGCGTAAGAACGGTCATGGTGATGAGAATATGGTCATCAATCAACTGATTGACATGTATGCTAAGTGCAAAAAGGTTGATATAGCACGTGCAATGTTTGATTCACTTTCCCCCAAGGAAAGGGATGTTGTGACTTGGACTGTGATGATCGGTGGATACTCCCAGCATGGGGATGCAAATAAAGCTCTCGAACTTTTATCTGAGATGTTCGAGGAAGATTGCCAAACAAGACCAAATGCTTTTACCATATCATGTGCCCTTGTGGCATGTGCCAGTTTGGCTGCATTAAGCATCGGCAAGCAGATTCATGCTTATGCATTGCGCAACCAGCAGAATGCAGTACCGCTGTTCGTATCAAACTGCCTAATAGACATGTATGCAAAATGTGGAGACATCGGTGATGCCCGGCTTGTATTTGACAACATGATGGAGAAAAATGAAGTTACTTGGACATCTCTAATGACGGGTTATGGTATGCATGGTTATGGAGAAGAAGCTCTTGGAATCTTTGAGGAGATGAGGAGAATAGGTTTTAAGCTTGATGGTGTTACATTACTTGTTGTACTGTATGCTTGCAGTCATTCAGGAATGATCGATCAGGGCATGGAGTATTTCAATAGAATGAAAACTGATTTTGGGGTTAGTCCTGGCCCGGAGCATTATGCATGCTTGGTTGACTTGTTAGGTCGTGCTGGCCGGTTGAATGCAGCTTTGCGTCTCATTGAAGAAATGCCAATGGAGCCTCCTCCTGTGGTATGGGTTGCTTTGCTCAGTTGCTGTAGAATCCACGGAAAAGTTGAACTGGGGGAGTATGCTGCTAAAAAAATAACAGAACTAGCATCTAATAACGATGGATCATATACATTGCTCTCAAATATGTATGCAAATGCAGGGCGTTGGAAAGATGTGACTAGGATCAGATCATTGATGAGACATAAAGGAATTAAAAAAAGACCTGGTTGTAGTTGGGTCGAAGGAATTAAAGGAACCACTACGTTCTTCGTGGGTGATAAAACTCATCCACATGCTAAGGAAATATACCAGGTCCTCTCAGATCATATGCAACGCATTAAGGACATTGGTTATGTTCCTGAAACAGGTTTTGCTCTTCATGATGTAGACGATGAAGAGAAAGATGATCTTCTTTTCGAGCATAGTGAGAAGTTAGCTCTTGCGTACGGTATTCTAACAACTCCTCAAGGTGCTGCTATCAGGATTACTAAGAATCTAAGGGTGTGTGGTGATTGCCATACCGCATTCACCTACATGTCCAGAATCATTGATCATGAGATTATATTGAGGGACTCAAGTCGCTTCCATCATTTCAAAAATGGATTGTGTTCCTGCAAAGGTTACTGGTGATGATGCTTTCTCTATTCGCTCTACCAGACAGTAGGATCTTAAGACGTCTGTTCATTACTCACTGAAACAGAAACAATAGTTTCGATCCACACATTCTATTCTGAGGATATCAAGTTCTTAATTATTAAAGGTACCATTCAAACAGCAGCACAGCAGTTTATATCGACATCCGCTTCAACCACAGATCAATAGCAGCGCTATAACACTAAGCTTGACAGGTAGGTACAAAGCCAGAAAACAATCACCAAACAAGTTCTCATTTACTCCCTCTATTTACCTCCCTATATCTGATTGACGTTTGTTTTCGGATTTTAATTTCATATTACCTGAACGGGTTTCCAACATCATGCGGGTTATGAAAGCAACCTCAACGGAACCGTATATTCAGGTTTTCACGTGGTTACTGCAGATTTCAAGAACGATCTAAAGGGACAAAGAGAAGGATAAAAAGCAGTGTGTTATAGACATGTAGATTGTATAATTTAAGCAAATTTTGTAGATGAATAGCTTTCTTCTTTATTTTTTGTAGATAATCACACTTCATACCATGGGTTTATCTTCAATAAACAAGATCTGTTGTTACATTTGAAATGTTCATATAGCCAACACTCCCATGAATTGGCATTAGAGCAAGCCATTTTCTCAATGAGCCAAAAAAGGCTAGAGCTTTTGATACCTCTAATACAAAGCCAGCAAAAAAAATGATATCACCATTGGTCAAATCAATCTGATCCTGGAGAGGCAAATGCTACATGTCCATGAAAAATGGGGAAAATGTTTAAAAATGGATATTTCGTCATCATCAGGAACGAGTGAACGTAACAACTACAGATTTCTCACAGGTAACCCTGGGCAACCAGAAAAGGTGGAGTTCATGCCTCTCCCTTCTGCTTGGTCTATCTGAGAGATCAGGTTGAAGAGATGTCATATCGAAATACGAAGCTTCTAAAGAAGCTTTAGTCCACCTGTTACTTCATCAACAACTTCGACTGGTCCTGCAAAAGTAAATGTTGAGCTAAGAAATGCTGATAATATCCGATAACAAATTCTGCTAGAAGAATCTCTAACTTCATAGAACGGTGCATATGAATTTGGATACCACGCAAGAGTATACACTCTCTTCTGACCGAGTCAACTTTTGAGCTTACATTTTCCTATTTTGGATTCTTATGATCTATATTCTATAGATTCCATTCAGGGTCAAGGACAAGCACCAAGCAGTCAAGAGAAGTCTTGAACTAATAAACTAGTAAATTTATCTAGGGTAAGTGTGATTTGGAACTCTCAAACTCATCTCGTGTCCACAAGAGTCTTTAACTTTCAAACACATGACTTGGATGAAAATTACCAACTTACCAAGAATAGCCATAACCGTCCTTGAATCTGGAAAAGAACATGGAAGTAAATTAGATTCACATTTTCGCAGAAAATGGTGCTAAATACTTACGAAAGAAGATTGAATCAAGAGAGATTTCTCCCTGGTAGTTAACTAGCAAACATAAAATTAAAACCACCAAGAGATTTATAATTCGAGAGGGGCAGGATCTTATGAAACTCACTTGGGGCAATTTGCGTTCTTCCAGCATCGATGGTGATATGGGTAGGCAGTTTAAGGGATTTAGCTCTTTCCTGGCAATTTTGTGAACAGTCAATACAAGCACTAAGAAATGGGAAAAATCAAGATAAGCTCTATGATATCTTAAATTCCCTTAAATATTCATGTATATGGTCAAAACTCAGAATTATCAAGAAACTAACATCTGACAACTCCTGCAAAGCCCGTGAAGATCAATTTGGCAACAACACTAAAGCTGTGAATCCAAAATATGTTTCAATCACACAATCCACTTTACAGTTTACAGTAATTAGTACAATTTGTTTTATTAAACTCACTTGCAATTCTAGCATCTCGTCCTCGTCCTCGATTTTCACAACAACTTTTGGCTGTGCACATTCCTCCCAGCTGCAATAGCAACCTATACTGTTAATTCCATACATCTTTAAGTAACAAATGGATTTGATTAGGACTTAGAGGCATACCAGTCCAATGCTTTTGGCGCTCGACGAACAAGCTTTTTGTATAATCCTAAAGTTGCATGACTGCAAAAATATGACTCAAATGTGAGAATGATAAACATGAATTAAACATTTAAAGCGTAAAGGAGAGCATGATTAGTTTAAATCACCTGCATTGAGCTGCAATCTTTCCTTTACCCATTTTAAGATCATTCCTCACAACCAAAACCTGAGTAGACAAAAACAGAATAACAAAAAGAACTCAATTCAACAATTTGTGATTCCATTACAGTAGAAGGACAAATGTAGTTAAGTACCATCTTGAAATCATCGAGGATATCAGCGAGTTTCTCGATTTCGAGAAGACCCTTGGAGGATTGATTTTTGATATCCCCATCAACAGCAGCAACAACAGGTTTGGAACGGCGAGTGCCAATGCAGAATCCAAGTGCAGCTCCAACAATTAGGGCACTTAACCACGTCAAATCCATTTGGCAAGACTCAAATACTTAAATCCTACAGATACAAGAGTGATTGAATTTGAGAGTCTAAAATTGAATTACCTTGACGTAATCTAGCTCAAGTTTCTACAGTAGAAAGGGAACAATCAGGATTATCAATGGTCTAAAGAAGAGAATCGAAGAAAGCTTACGAGTTCCAGAGAGAGAGAAACGGCTCTGATGATGAAGTGTTTTTTTTTTCTCAAACCGTCGTGAAGATTTTACTGGCAAGAAAAAAAAAATACAAACCATTAACTTAAATCAAGATCAATATAAATTGATACCAAAAAAAAAATATTTACAATTTTAAAATATTAAAACAATTGGTTTGTCTTTACGACTTTACCCATCAAAACTGATATGAGTAAAGTTTATGACAGAGTGGAATGGATTTTCGTTGAGAATGTTCTAAGAAAATTAGGTTTTTGTGTGAAATGGATTACCTGAATAATGTGGTGTATTACACCAGTTCAATATAGAGTGCTCCTTAATGGGCAACCTAGAGGACTAATTGTACCAGAAAGGGGATTACGACAAGGGGACCCGTTTTCTCCTTATTTATTCATCCTTTGTACAGATGTACTAATTGCGAATATTCGGAAAGCAGAAAGGGAAAAACTAATTACGGATATTAAGATAGCAAATGCAAGCCCTTCGGTTTCACATCTGTTATTTGCGAATGATAGCTTATTCTTTTGTAAGGCAAATAAGGACCAGTGTGAGGTAATATTGGGGATTTTAAAGAAATATGAAGCGGTCTCCGGACAGCAGATTAATTTTTTAAAATCTTCGATTCAGTTTGGACATAAGGTAGATGAGGATATCAAGGAGGAAATCAAATCTACCTTGGGAATCACTAATATCGGTGGGATGAGTTCTTATCTTGGTCTGCCAGAGAGTTTGGGTGGATCTAAAACAAAAAATTTCTCTTTTGTCAGAGATAGATTGCAAACAAGAATTAACGGATGGTCGGCAAAATTTTTATCGAAAGGTGGGAAAGAAGTGATGATTAAATCAGTAGCTGCAGCACTACCAACTTATGTTATGTCGTGCTTCAGACTACCGAAAACAATTACTTCTAAACTTACTAGTGCGGTTGCTAAATTTTGGTGGAGTTCAAATGGAGATTCCAGAGGTATGCACTGGATGGCTTGGAACAAGTTGTGCAATAGTAAATCGGAAGGAGGGTTAGACTTTCGGAATGTAGACGATATTAATTCAGCCCTATTAGCTAAACAATTATGACGGTTGATTACGGTTATAGATTCCCTTTTTGCGAAGGTTTTTAAAGGGCGGTATTTTCGAAAATCCAATCCCTTGGAAAATATTAAATCATACTCCCCATCATATGGATGGTGTAGTATCTGTTCAGCTAGATCTCTGGTTAATAAAGGGCTTATTAAAAGGGTCGGATCGGGGACATCCATCTCAATTTGGGAGGATCCCTGGATTCCAGCTCAATTCCCGAGACCAGCAAAGAATAATGGTTCACTTGTTGACTCATTGTTAAAAGTAAACAATCTTATAGATAGTCGGTCGAATTTTTGGAATATTGCTCTCCTAGAGGAGATCTTTGATTCAGAAGATATCGCCATCATAAGTGCCCTACCTGTGGGTGCGCCAACTAAGGAGGATACACTGGGTTGGCATTTTACAAAATCCGGAAAATATACAGTCAAATCGGGATATCATACCGCACAGTTAGGAAATTTAGAGACAAATTTCTCATTGATTGGTCCAGACATCAAACTGTTAAAAGCACATTCTTGGCAAGTGCATTGTCCACCTAAGATACGTCATTTCTTATGGCAAATTTTAACGGGTTGTGAACCAGTTACAGAAAATTTAAGGAGAAGAGGAATCGATTGTGATACAGGTTGTGCCAGATGTGGTGAACCAGTGGAAACAATCAATCATACACTCTTTCAGTGCCACCCGGCACGACAGGTTTGGGCACTCTCTCAGATTCCTACAGCAATGAGATTTTTTCTAACGGAGTCTATCTTTGCGAATTTGGACCATTTATTTTGGAGAATACCTTCGGACTTTGACTCTTTAGCCTTTCCATGGATTATCTGGTATATATGGAAAGCAAGGAATGAAAAAATATTTGAAAATATTGATAAAGATCCGTTGGAGGTATTACTGTTAGCGGAAAAAGAAGCACAATTGTGGCAGTCTACCCAAATTGAGCTTCATCATGAAATGTATGGTACTGTGGAATTGGTAAATCGGTCTCGAGTGGGGAATACTTCACTTGACTCGAATTATTCAGGATACCGTTGCTTTGTGGATGGATCGTGGAAAGAAAGTTTCTCCGGTACATGATGGTTCTGTACATCATCAAACGGAGAGCCGCCAACTATGGAAGCTGCAAATCTCCGTCGAAGTTTATCTCCATTACATACCGAGTTCGAGGCCCTTCTCTGGGCGATGAAGTGTATGATAGGTGCAGATAATCAAGAGGTAGAGTTCCTTACAGACTGTTCTGATCTGGTTAAGATGGTGTCTTCTCCAACCGAATGGCCGGCATTTTCAGTGTAATTGGAGGAATTTCAGAGCGACAAGGAAGAATTCTCATCATTCTCTTTATCTTTAATTTCTCGCAACGCTAATGTAAAAGCGGATCATCTTGCACGAAAAATTCGTACAGAACCGCTTCATATCACATTTGTAAACAACATTCCACAGGAATTACTCTTTTGAGTTTTAATTAATTTCGGATGACAAAAAAAAAAACAATTGGTTTTTCATTTTTAGATTGATTATTGGTTCGTTGGATGAAATTTCTAACGTGATTGGTTGAGATAATTTTTTTAAATAATATAGGTATCAAAAATAAATATTAGGAAACGAAAAATAAAAAAAGCATATATTTTTGGCAATAATGTTAGCGTAAAGGAAGGGAGACATAGTCGGGATAAAGTTATTCCCGCGGCCAAACACTTAAAAAAGAAACGCAGTTTTATTCTGCTTCAGAATTTGTACGGCGTCAACGGGCCATTGACCTTGTCGCAGGTTTTCGTCTCTAGTCTCCTTTATTTCACCAGATCGAGCTTTGTTCTTCGAGCTTCTCATCTCTTTGTTCAATCTCAAAGGTAGAAATTCGCGTTAATCTACTTGCGATTTCCCTGTTTTTGGTTACTATTTCGTGTTGATCGATCTAGTTCTGGGTTTTCCCATGATATGAAATGATTTTTCCTCAGGGGTTTTGTTGACCAAAATGAATTTTTCTATGTACTTTCCAATTTCGATCTTGGAATATCGAATTCGTTTTTTCTCAGCAGACCCTAATTAGATTCATCTGTAAAAAACCTGTTTAATTTCTGGTTTAACCAGTTTCCTTGACTAATTTTGATGGATCGACAGAATTTTTTGTATGATCTAGTAGATCAGGTGTATGTGAAACCCTGATTGATCATATAGGTAGTTTTTTAGGACACTCCATGAATCTCAAATATGAACCTTTTTGTGTATTTGATTTTGGGGTTAATCTCTTGCATAAAGAATTCTTAGGTGTTTTTTTTACTGTTAGTTGTGCTTCCTTCCATACATTAAAATAAGCAATTCCTTTTGTGCTCGTTATTGTTTAGTATTATTGAAGCATATTTGAATAGATTGATGTTTCAGCTTTTGTGTTTCATTTACAGGTTTGAGTATCAGCAAAGATGAGTGACAATCTGATGGACAAAGTTACCGCATTTGGTGAGCGCTTGAAGATTGGTGGTTCGGAAGTGAGCAACAAGATCAGTGCTGGTGTGAGCTCAATGAGCTTCAAATTGAAGGAACTTTTTCAAGGTCCAAACCCTACTGATAAAATAGTCGAGGATGCTACTACGGAGAATCTAGAGGAACCTGACTGGGATATGAATTTGGAAATATGTGATATGATAAATCAAGAGACAATTAATAGCGTTGAGTTGATCCGTGGGATAAAGAAGAGGATAATGATGAAGCAGCCGAGAATTCAGTACCTTGCCTTGGTGTTGCTCGAGACGTGTGTTAAGAACTGTGAGAAGGCATTTTCAGAAGTGGCAGCTGAAAGAGTCCTTGATGAAATGGTAAAGCTGATTGATGATCCACAAACAGTTGTGAATAATCGAAACAAAGCTTTGATGCTGATTGAAGCTTGGGGAGAATCCACCAGTGAACTCCGCTACCTACCAGTTTTCGAAGAAACTTATAAGGTACCAACTGATGCTACGCTGCTGAATTCTACCATACAGGTTTTATTTACACTACTTTATAGAAAATGTCAATCTTAATTTATATCCATCTGTTGTGATGAGTTAAAGTGTTTTGGCCTTACTTTTTGAGTTTGCTTGCCCTCGGAAATTCAAGGTCAAGCATCTGGGTTTTGAACAAAACAGATAAATGACTATGATTTCAATGAATTGGCTCAATCCACTAACTTGTTGCAGGAATTGATTGAAAAATGAAAAGCTGTGAGGTCTGATGTCAGAATTCATTATGATCAGGTCTTTAATGTTTTTGTCTTATATTTTTGTTCCTATACTATAGAGCTTAAAAGCAAGAGGTATTCGCTTCCCTGGACGAGACAACGAGTGCTTGGCACCTATTTTCACTCCTGCTCGATCAACTCCAGCACCAGAAGTAAATGCTGATATTCCTCAGCATGTGCATGAGCCCGCACATATTCAGTATGATGCTCCTGTAAGAAGCTTTACCGCTGAGCAGACAAAGGAAGCTTTCGATATAGCAAGAAACAGCATTGAACTTCTTTCCACGGTTCTGTCCTCCTCACCTCAACATGATGCTTTACAGGTAATTCAACTCAGAACTATTAGGCATCATTTCCTATAATTCTAATATAATAATGGATAACAGGGGATATCCGCGATGTCTTTTCATCATCTCTCTGATTTGCAGGATGACTTAACAACGACACTTGTACAACAATGTCGTCAATCTCAAACCACTGTCCAAAGAATCATCGAAACTGCAGGTGAAAACGAAGCACTTCTATTTGAAGCCTTGAATGTGAACGACGAGCTAGTGAAAACGCTGTCCAAGTATGAGGATATGAACAAACCCTCTGCACCGCTAACCGCACATGAACCAGCCATGATTCCTGTTGCTGAAGAGCCCGATGACTCTCCGGTTCATGGAAAAGAAGAAACTCTGGTTAGAAAATCTTCTGGTGTTCGTGGTGGATTCCATGGAGGAGGTAGTGGGGATGACATGATGGATGATCTTGATGAGATGATATTCGGTAAGAAAAGCGGCGGTGATTCTTCGACTAATGCTGATCATGACTTGAAAAAGGATCAGTCTTCATCCAAAAACGACGATCTCATTCGATTCTGAGACTGTTATTATCAGGCGAAATAATAACTCTTTTAATGGATGAATTTGGTGTTTAATTGGTAGTATGAATGAACAGATTCTCAGTGTAAGTAATCTGTGTTTGGAGATCTCTTTGACTTGTGTTATGGGGTTTATAAAGAAGATTTGGTATGATGACACAAAAGATTTGAAATCTATCTATTTTAATTGCTGCTATCGAACACATTTTGGCATCTATCTATCCAATTGCTATCGTGCACATTTGAACACAAACTTTGTTTAAATTTAGGCGTTTACAGTCGCAGACGCAATCGCGGTTAAGTGAAGCGCATCGTCACTTTCCACACACAAGAAGCAACGAAACACAATAACAGAAATTTGTAATCGTAATTCGAATAATCAGATCTCGCAATGTCTGGGAAACAGCAAAATCATCGTTCTACTTCTTGCAGACCCAGATCCAAAACCCTAATCATCATTTCTCTCTTCTCCGTCTCTCTACTGGGCATCCTCTACACCTTCTCTTCCTCCTCCCGACCCTCAATCTCCAACCTGAACCCGTCGGACCAACCAGAGACGTCCTTCGTTACCTCGCTTGAGCATTTCTTAACCCATAAAGCTCCGAAGCTCTCGTTACCGGTTAGAGACGACACGGTGCGTGGCGAGAGTGATGATGATGTGAGGAAGCTCGATGAGATGGTTTTTGAGAGAGAGAATCGTTGGTTGAACGAAGATCCGGGATATCCTGTCGGGTTTCCGATTAAGGTTTACGTGTATGAGATGCCTAAGAAGTTTACTTTCGATCTTCTCTGGTTATTTCACAATACTTACAAAGAGACTTCAAATGCTACCTCTAATGGTAGCCCTGTGCATCGTCTAATCGAACAGGTACTATAAGAAGCTTAATTGATCATTTGTTAGATTTCTTGTGCCATTGAATCATATTAGGCTTTGTGGTTTTGTTCAACTGTGTCTTCTTCACTTGTTTAGCCTGAATAACTTGTCTAATTTTTCTATATTGCAGCATTCTATTGACTATTGGCTCTGGGCTGATCTGATCTCTCCTGAATCCGAAAGGCGTTTAAAAAGTGTCGTGAGGGTTCACAAGCAGCAAGACGCCGACTTTTTCTATGTTCCGTTCTTCACTACAATCAGCTTTTTCTTGTTGGAGAAGCAGCAATGCAAGGCACTCTATAGGGTGTGAGTGAGCTTTGATTATATATTTGCTAGGATTAGATTTAATTTTCAACTCTAGATAGTTTTCATCTCCATGTGCTATATTTTAAAAGTATCAAAGCTGATTTAAAACTTTAAGTGTGTGTTTCCAATGGACCCAAACTCTTACCCCAAGTGTTTAAGAATGTTTTGATTTACATCCTGTTTGTAGATTATACCACATCTTATGGTTTTTGATTGATTTCTGATTGCTAAAGCCGATGTCAATTTGACCTACTCTGGAGCTCAGAGCATCTGAATAGTCTATTGCATGTTATTTCTTAATACTGCTCTTTATTTGTTCTTAGTTGATTCAGGTTAAGCCTGCCTCAATGGGAGATTGTTAGTTGAAAAACATGAGATTCCAGATTTTACTGGTAATAACCTTTTTTAACTCTTTTTAAACTGTAGGAAGCTTTGAAGTGGGTCACTGATCAGCCTGCTTGGAAGAGGTCCGAGGGAAGGGATCACATATTTCCTATTCATCATCCCTGGTCCTTTAAGTCTGTCCGCAAATTTGTGAAAAACGCAATCTGGCTTTTACCAGATATGGACTCCACTGGGAATTGGTGAGTCTAGATTTCCTTTTGTAACTGATTCCGAGTCATGTAATCTGCTTTTTTAGCTATACGTTTTTTAATTCTGTTTGAACTTGACTTCGTAGGTATAAGCCTGGGCAAGTTTCATTGGAGAAAGACCTAATCCTTCCTTATGTTCCCAATGTTGATATCTGTGATGCCAAATGCTTGTCAGAAAGTGCACCGATGAGAACCACATTACTTTTCTTTCGAGGGCGCCTTAAGAGGAATGCTGTGAGAATTAGGCCTTTTCTGTCCCTTTATAAGCTACATTAAATGCTCTTTTACTTTTTCTTTCTCGGTGACTTTTTAGATATCCCTAATAGTTGGAATACTTTGTTGTTATATAAAGAACAATTGAAATACCTCATTATACTGGGAAAGCTCTCAATCTTTCTTTGCCTTATCTTATAAGTTATGTGTCTCATGAATTGGTTGTTGAATTTTTTTTGTTTAGGGAGGTAAAATACGTGCCAAACTCGGTGCAGAACTAAGTGGTGTCAAGGGTGTAATAATTTCTGAGGGGACTGCCGGAGAGGGAGGAAAATTGGCAGCTCAAGGTGGCATGCGTAGGTATATCTTGGGTTGCTTCCTCACCCATTTGGCTGCGGCACAATTTTTCTTTTCCTTTTACGTTTTAACCTTTTTTCTAACTATGGCTGCTTTCCATCAGATCTTTATTCTGTTTGTGTCCTGCTGGTGACACACCATCTTCGGCGAGGTTGTTTGATGCCATTGTCAGTGGCTGTATACCTGTTATAGTCAGTGACGAGTTGGAATTTCCTTTTGAAGGAATACTTGATTACAAGAAGGTATGTTCAGGAAACCTAATACATTGGTGCTCTGAATTGTATGAGCCTTCACTCTCTTTTCTTTTTGCTCTTGTTTTATCTCTCAGGTTGCTGTGCTCGTTTCTTCCAATGATGTTGTACAACCAGGGTGGCTTGTAAATCACCTAAGAAGCCTTACGCCCTTCCAAATCAAGGAGTTGCAGAAAAACCTTGCTCAAGTAAGTTCTTAGTTTTTCTCATCTTCACAAACTTTGATTTTACAAAACGATATTAACCTAGCAAACAACCTCAGTTATGCAGTGGATCTTTATATATTAAGTAATATGATTGTTTTCAACTTTTCCAGTACTCGCGGCATTTCCTATATTCAAGCCCTGCTCAGCCATTAGGTCCAGAGGACTTGACATGGAGAATGGTATGTACCTACCAAAAACTTACATACCTTGATATTACCAAGATGGAAAAAAAAAATCGAAAGCAATAACGATACCTGACAGCATGTTGTAACTAAAATCAGTTTTGATATTGTGCAAGAACGGGGTAGTAGATAAAAAATTCACTTTGTGTGTTTTTGATGACTACTTCAAGTTCTCTTCCTTAATCCGCCCTGATTGCTCAGCACAATGTGGGTTCGGCTTACCCGATTAATCCTCTGATTAAATATTTTTGCCTCTGATCACACTCATTCGATCTCTGTCAGTGGAAATGGTGTAGAACTTACATGTGTAAATCTAAAATTCAGAAAATATTGATGTTCTTGTTGCAATGGCAGATGGCCGGAAAGCTAGTGAATATCAAGCTTCACACGAGAAGGTCACAGCGGGTCGTGAAAGGATCTAGGAGCCTTTGTAGATGCGATTGCTGGAAACCCAACTCCACAGCCATCAATCCTTTGAATCCTCTCTTGTCTTAAGACCTATAACTCTGACCCAGATATATATTGTTGAATGTTTATCTATTAACTTTTCCTTATCGCTTACCATTTTTCCTATACTTGCTTGGTCAAAAGAATGCATGAACTCTGATAATTGGAGGGCAGGATTGAGATTTGAGACTAGAGTTTTGGTTCGGAAATAACCCCAAATGTAATGATCTGATCTGTGACCAAAGCTCACAATCAAGTCACTTGATCGAAAGTTTTTCAAAAACTATCCGCCTTGAAATGGTCTAGAGAAATTTTTGATCTGAGATGGCGTGTTTTGGTTCGTTTTGTGTCTGTAGCATGGATATTCATTCATGAAATTAATTGGCAAAAATAAAAACAAACTAAATACAATGTGGAAGCTCTTTAGCTCATTGGTTGAACAAGGGTTAATTAATATTTCTATACCTAGAGGTCTGGGGTTCGAGTCCCAGATACTGCGATTTATTAATAAATTTACAGATTATTGGAGGCAAGTGTGCAGGAGATCTCCAGTGATGTACAATTATAGTCGTTCGCCAGGATTCTACGCAGAGAGGGAAGTGTCCATCAAGAGCATAAAGAAGGAGGTGAAGGAGGTGAGTATGAAGAAGAAGGTGTCGTCTATCGTGGATCTAATGAGGGTCAGAAAGAATTGTCCGTTGTAAAATCGTCTATGTAACAGTTCTCATAATTTGCAATAAATAATAAATCCAGACGTTAAAAAAAAAAAACTAAATACAATATGCCAGATATTTAATATTAATGTTGACACTGACAGGGACATTATTACGTGGAGAATGAGAATTATTCGTGGTTAGTAGTAGTTACTCCATTAGATATGAAATATTGACATTTTTGACCAACGCTACGTACACACGTCACACGTTATCTCATTATTCCAAAAAATAAAAACATATAAGTGAGAAATACTCCTGCGACCGCGTATTTGGGTATTTCCCATTCGTTTTTGGAAATTCCCCAAAGTACCCTCATCGTCTCTTTCAGTGTGCTTACACGTTTTTTGAGTCCCGAAATTAACGCCTCCCTACGACATTCTTTTTATTTTTCCATATTTTATTGTGAAAAAATACCAAATAGTATTTTTTTCTTTTTTTTTTATTGGCTGTGACTGGTTAAAAAGTTAGAAAAAATAGAAGAAAAGAAATGTCACATCAAAAAGAAAAATGAATTCTACTAGTTTTGAAGAAGGAATAATTCCTCTCCTTTAGTTACTTTTTGATGTTTTCATCTGATATAATTCTGATTTTTTTTTATTGGTACATGCCAAGAAAATAAAAAATTCTCCCTTTTTCATTTCTTCTATTAAGGGTGACCAGTCACACCCATTGTGTTTTGTAGCTTGGAATTGAAACTAGAAAATATCTGAAGTCTTTTCGGTAGCTAATTTGTATCTTCTTACAACAACAAAGTGAAAATATAACTAAAAAGAAAAAATTAGTTAATAAACATACATTTTAAACAATTTCAAAAAGATAAAATCCTGAAAACAGAGAGATTTTGGATTAATTTTTAAAAAAAAAAAAAAATTCTCAAAATGAGAACATTGTATATTAATAAATCACAACAATTTCCCCTTTATCATAAGAGGATTTAGTAATCCAACACTTTTTAAAGCCACTAAATTTTTAACTTGCGACTTAATATCCCAATAAAATTCAAATAACTTGAGTTATTTTCAAAACATGGATTTTACAGTATTTGCTTGCTTTAAATACTGTAAATCATTGAACTGAGATCAAAGCAATTAGAGATTTTCTAATCTTTTATGGTAAGTAAATTTTTGGTATCCTTATTCGATAAGAAAAAAAATGGAAATAATGAAAAACGTTCAACGCGTTAAAAGATAAATAAGACCACAAGAGTTAAAAAGAGTCGTTCTTACTTTATCTACCTTGTCCGAAAAACCTCAGTCGCCCTAAAATAAATATTTTAAAAAGAAAACGTAAAACGTTTCAGAAAAAAAAAAAAGAGTGTGCTCCGTCAACTTGTTTCCCGGCGGCGTTCCACCTTCGTCTTCGCTGTCTCACCGCGTCATAAAATTTTCTACTTAAAAGTAAAAAATTCGAAATCGAGCAGAGATCTTCCGTCTTCATTTCTCGTCTCTATTCTTTACTTTTTCTTTGTTTTATATATATTTTAAGATCTTTGAATATATTGGGGATAAATCGGCTAACGTGTATTAGTTAGCAGGAGTGCTTAAGTATTTGCTCACGACTAAGTCCTTTTCTCCTCCTCTTCTTCTTTTTCTTCCTTTCACTATCTCTTCTCAATTTATCAAATGCCTCATAATATCCAGTTGGGTGGCACGACACGACCGCGTTGAATACTTCAGACAGATTTGTTAAAAAAGAAAGTATGTTCTTCTTCTTCTTCTGTCAATTACTATAAACTCAAAGATCTGAGTTTCTTCTCTCTTCTTAGCGTTCCTTTCCCGTGAAGGTATTTGCAAGCAATCTTGGTTTTTAAATCTTGTTTAATTGTTTTCTTATTAGTTCGTGGTGGGATCGTCTCTTTTTGTCTGAAAATGTCAATGGGCTCATCTTTCTCTCTCTCTCATTTCACTTCTCGTTTTGAATTGTTTAGAGAAAGATGTGTGCGCTTTTCGAGATATTCTTGGATTTGAAAGTTTGAATCTTTGAATTAGAGTATACGTCTTGGTAGCTTTAAAGGTGGTGCCTTTTTGTTGCAGTAAGAAATGATTGTTACCTTTTTCTTTTTCATTTGTGTGAAGGTTGATGATGAGTTTGTTTTTGATTGAAGCCATTAGATCCATAGATTGATCTGTTTCTTTGTTGATGTTTTGAATGGAATTTAAGAGCAATTAGAGATGTCTTTGTTTCCTCTTTTGCTAACTTTGTTGCTTCTGCTTTGACTTCTTTCTACAGGGATCTGCCAAGTTAGATCCTAACTATGGCATCTAATAAGCATTTCGATAAAAGTCCTTCAAATCTATCAAACAACTCTGATATTCAGGAGCCTGGAAGGCCATCTGTTCCTCAGAGAGTAAAATTTGGTCGAAGAACTTCCTCGGGTCGCTATATTAGTTACTCCAGGGACGATCTTGATAGCGAGTTGGGCAGTCAAGATTTCATGAGCTATACAGTTCAGATTCCTCCAACTCCAGATAACCAGCCGATGGACCCTTCTATTTCTCAGAAAGTTGAGGAGCAATATGTCTCTAACTCGATGTTCACTGGCGGGTTTAACAGCACCACCAGGGCTCACCTTATGGACAAAGTGATTGAGACAAAGACTAACCATCCACAAATGGCTGGCGCTAAAGGATCTTCTTGCGCGATCCCTGGCTGCGATGCTAAGGTTATGAGCGATGAGAGAGGTCAAGATCTTCTTCCCTGTGAATGTGACTTTAAAATTTGTAGGGATTGCTTCATAGATGCGGTCAAAACCGGTGGTGGGATTTGCCCCGGGTGTAAAGAACCGTACAAGAACACGCATTTGACCGATCAGGTTGATGATAACGGTCAGCAAAGGCCTATGCTGCCTGGCGGTGGCGGGTCGAAGATGGAGAGAAGATTGTCTTTGATGAAGTCAACTAATAAATCAGCTTTGATGAGGAGTCAGACTGGAGATTTTGATCACAATAGGTGGTTATTTGAGACGACTGGAACTTATGGTTATGGGAATGCTTTTTGGACAAAGGACGGGAATTTCGGGAGCGGTAAGGATGGAGATGGAGATGGTGACGGTATGGAGGCGCAAGATTTGATGAGCAAACCGTGGAGACCGCTTACTCGGAAGCTGAAAATTCCTGCTGGTGTTATTAGTCCATACAGGTATAAAAGAGAAGTGTATTGTTTTATTGTGTAACTATACTAAATCCAATTTTCTAAGTTGTTAAAAGAAGTCTGTATTCTTTTTTCTTTTTTTGCAGGCTTTTGATATTTATCCGTATAGTTGTTCTTGCATTGTTCTTGACTTGGAGGATTAAACATCAAAACCCAGACGCTATATGGTTATGGGGAATGTCTGTGGTTTGTGAGCTTTGGTTTGCCTTGTCTTGGCTTCTTGATCAGCTCCCTAAGCTATGCCCGATTAACCGTGCCACCGATCTTCAAGTCTTGAAGGAAAAGTTTGAAACACCGACAGCCAGCAATCCGACCGGGAAATCCGACCTTCCTGGATTCGATGTGTTTGTCTCTACTGCGGATCCCGAGAAAGAACCTCCTCTGGTCACTGCTAATACCATTTTATCGATTCTAGCTGCGGAATATCCGGTTGAGAAGCTTTCTTGCTATGTGTCTGATGATGGAGGGGCGCTTCTTACGTTTGAAGCAATGGCTGAAGCTGCGAGCTTTGCAAACATTTGGGTTCCTTTTTGTCGTAAACATGCGATCGAGCCGAGGAATCCAGACTCCTACTTTAGCTTAAAGAGAGATCCTTACAAGAACAAAGTGAAGTCTGATTTCGTGAAGGACCGGAGACGGGTTAAGCGTGAGTTCGATGAGTTCAAAGTCAGGGTTAACAGCTTGCCTGATTCGATCAGGAGACGTTCTGATGCTTATCATGCCAGAGAAGAAATTAAAGCCATGAAGATGCAGAGGCAGAACAGGGACGATGAGATTTTGGAGCCCGTGAAGATTCCGAAAGCTACATGGATGGCTGATGGTACTCACTGGCCTGGAACTTGGTTGACTTCTGCCAGTGATCATGCCAAAGGCGACCACGCCGGTATCATTCAGGTATATATAAAGTTGATATCGAAAGCCTTTTTCTACTTTCTTTGAAGTTTTCAATGTCCATGGAATGGCCATAAATTCAAGATTCAAGATGTTATTATATTATTCAATATCTCATTTTGTTTTCGCATATGATCTATCAATGCAGGTGATGTTGAAGCCACCGAGTGATGAGCCATTACACGGAGTGTCCGAAGGGTTTCTTGATCTAACTGATGTGGATATTCGGCTCCCACTCCTTGTCTATGTTTCTCGTGAGAAGCGACCCGGTTATGATCATAACAAGAAGGCTGGAGCCATGAACGCCCTAGTCAGAGCTTCTGCTATTATGTCAAATGGACCATTCATACTCAATCTTGACTGTGATCATTACATATACAACTCTGAGGCACTGAGAGAAGGTATGTGCTTCATGATGGATAGAGGCGGGGATAGGCTTTGCTACGTTCAGTTTCCGCAGCGGTTTGAAGGTATTGACCCTTCGGATAGATATGCTAATCACAACACTGTCTTCTTTGACGTCAACATGAGAGCCCTTGATGGGCTTATGGGTCCGGTTTATGTCGGAACCGGTTGTCTCTTCCGAAGAATCGCGCTTTATGGATTCAATCCGCCTCGATCCAAGGACTTTTCCCCAAGTTGCTGGAGTTGTTGTTTCCCTCGTAGCAAAAAGAAGAATATTCCTGAAGAAAACCGAGCTCTGCGTATGAGTGATTATGATGACGAAGAAATGAATCTCTCTCTAGTCCCGAAGAAATTCGGTAACTCGACATTCCTCATTGATTCAATTCCCGTTGCTGAGTTCCAAGGCCGGCCTCTTGCGGACCACCCTGCGGTTAAAAACGGGCGCCCACCCGGTGCACTCACCATCCCGCGAGAACTTCTTGATGCATCGACAGTAGCAGAAGCCATTGCTGTTATCTCTTGCTGGTACGAGGATAAAACCGAGTGGGGGTCACGTATCGGATGGATTTACGGGTCAGTCACTGAAGATGTTGTCACAGGTTATAGAATGCATAACCGAGGCTGGAAATCGGTTTACTGTGTGACGAAACGGGATGCTTTCCGTGGCACAGCTCCAATTAACTTGACGGATAGGCTTCACCAGGTTCTCCGTTGGGCTACTGGCTCGGTCGAGATCTTCTTCTCCCGTAACAATGCTCTTCTTGCAAGCTCGAAAATGAAAATACTCCAGAGAATTGCCTACTTAAACGTCGGTATCTACCCGTTCACATCGATCTTCCTCATCGTCTACTGTTTCCTCCCGGCGCTCTCCCTCTTCTCTGGTCAGTTCATCGTCCAGACGCTCAACGTCACTTTCCTAGTCTACCTTCTCATCATCTCCATCACTCTCTGCTTACTCGCCCTCCTCGAGATCAAATGGTCAGGAATCTCACTGGAGGAATGGTGGAGAAACGAACAGTTTTGGCTCATTGGAGGAACAAGCGCTCATCTCGCAGCTGTGCTTCAAGGTTTGCTCAAAGTTGTAGCAGGAGTCGAAATCTCCTTCACGCTCACTAGTAAATCCGGAGGAGATGATATAGACGACGAGTTTGCGGATTTGTACATGGTGAAATGGACTTCACTTATGATCCCTCCGATTACGATCATTATGGTGAACTTGATCGCGATTGCGGTTGGATTCAGCAGGACAATTTACAGTGTGGTTCCTCAGTGGAGTAAATTGATTGGAGGAGTGTTCTTCAGTTTTTGGGTTTTGGCACATCTTTATCCATTTGCTAAAGGTCTAATGGGAAGAAGAGGAAGAACACCGACGATTGTGTATGTTTGGTCTGGTCTTGTGGCCATTACCATTTCTCTTCTTTGGGTCGCTATTAATCCTCCGGCTGGTAATACTGAGATTGGAGGAAACTTCAGTTTTCCATGATAGGTTGATTTCTTGTCAAGAATCACAAAACAAAACAAAAAAAATATTCGTTGTCTTTTTATTATATGAAATCACATTCCTTTATTAGATTCTTTTTGTTTTTCTTTTCTGTCTGAAGATGATGATGGATCATGTTAGGACAAAGATCGGCTAAATATAGTTTGAACGAGTGCAGGAACTTAGTTTCTCTCGTTGTCTTTTTTTGGTTCTCTGTTGTATCATTTGTTTATGACGTGGATGTTTTTTTGCTCATGACATTTGTTCTTCTTTTTATGTAACCTTTGATTAATGGTGGAACTATACAGTCTGCTACTAAAATTGTATATTAAAACCCAAAATCCATGTCTTACTAAAGTAATTAAATTTGATCATGTTTATCTTCATCAAAACTGCATGTATAAGTAAAATTTGCAAATACATGTATTCTCAATTAGTTTTTGATTGAAAACTTTTGAACTTTAATATATGACTGGTTTATACTAAAAAAAAAACACTAATCTTATAACAGAGTTCTATGGAGATGGGTGATGGAATATGTCACATATACAAGAAACATTAAAGTCCTGATTTGATTACAGGATTGAATTTTAATTTGGATCAATTTTTCTTCTTCTTTGTAAATCTGAAATAACTAGAAATGAAACCAAACTTGGCTAAACTAAAAGAATTGGAAGAAAAAAAGAAGTAAAGCATGAGAGTGATTCATCTACCGGAAATGTCGTACAAAACGAGCTATAACTATCTCATGGAACAAGATAGGCATAGAGGGTGGTACTCTACTCATATCTAAATTCAAAGCAAACGAAACTGAAATTATATAAGGGAAAAAAAAAAAAAAAAAAGTAATTACATGAAAAGAATTCACATGCAGAAAAAGTCGTACACGCAAGCTATATCTAATTTATGTTCTAGAATAGTTTTATATAAATTACATTATTGACAAATTTAATTATTAGGACAATTTTTAGACGTGTCTTCAATCTCCATGACTCAACGTGACAACCATGTGGGAATGCCAAGCATTATCGATTTTCGTACGTGAATCTTTTATGTATTTGAGATTGGAAGCTTGTCGTTTGATAGATCTCACAGGAAAAACTTCACCAATATTAACCAAAATATTCTAAAATTGTTACTTGTTCTTGATTATTGATTCAACCAAATTCTTCTAAGTATCATGGTCTTTTAGCAAATAAATATAGTAGACTATTTATTAATATAGCGTCATTTTCAAATAAAACAAAAATATATTATAAATAAAGAAATTCATTGGATTATTTTTTATTTTTCTTACATCAATTGGATTTTAATAAGTTATGTTCTGGCGATTTATAGTAGTATCCAGTATCCACAGTAAATATCACAAATTATACTAGTTGAACAAACTATCTACAAACTCGCTCACCATGCGGATACCATGACCTTATGACCACTCAATTTGGTGGAAAACAACACACGCATGTCCAAAGCTAAACCTTATCTATCACCTACCAAAATTCTCTACCTAACTATGAAAGATTATATCTAAGTATCCGATCCCACCAATCTAATCTCCAAAAAAAGACGCCCCAAAAAGGAACAAGAAGGTTTCTTTTTTAAAAATGAGAGCTATTCAAACTCAAGTGATAACCTTCTGCATGTTAGTCATCATCGTAACATCATCAACAAGAGCCCAAAAGAGTCATCATGTGCCAAACAACCATGAACTTTCTGTCGCCATCGAAGAAATGGAGAAAGCAAATTACTTCTCTTTTGTGATGCTTATCAACATGTTACCATCCGTAAATCCTCGATTCTTAGCCAATGTCACATTCTTGATGCCAAAGGACAAAACCCTTTCTAGATCAAACATTATTAATCAACAGGATTCGGTTTCTGAGTTCTTGCTTCGCCACTCAATCCCTTCCTCTCTTCTTTTCGAGCATCTCAATCTCATCCCCAATGGCTCCATTGTTCCTTCCTCTTTACCACATTACACCCTCGAGATCTCCAATGGTGGAAGATCAAACTACTTTCTCAATAATGTCAAGATTATAAGCCGCAACATTTGTAGCTTAGGCTCTATCAAATGTCATGGAATTGACGGTATCCTACAATCTCCAAGTACTATCGACGATGATTCTCCTCATAATAATCACACTTTACCCTTCATTTCTTGCCCTAGCAGTCACAACAATAGTGACCAAAGTAGTCATAACAATAGTTCTCTTCCTACTCATACTCTTACCGCTCCTCCACCAGCCAGCAGTCCCCTGCCAAAATCAGATTCTCCAAGCATCCATGAGGTGGAAATGTTAAATTCGATCGTTATTCCTTTGCTTGGATTATTAGCGGGTTTGATCTGCATGTGAAGTATACTACTGCATGCAAATACCACCACTTAATTAGTTGTGTGTAATAGTACTCTCTTGTTATAGTTTATATCTACACATGTAAAAGAAAAAAACGATGAACGTTATAAATGTAACAATCAATTCAATTTGAGTTTTAATTTTAAAATTTCCTTTATAATATCTATTTAGAGACTTTCCTCCAAATTTGTTCTTTTCTGGCAACAGTTTCAATGTATTCTTCCTATTTCAATGTATTTTTGTTATCATACATTAATAATCTATGATAGTGTGATACTATATGAACTATCTATTACTATGGTATTAATTAAAAACACTTATATAAAAAAAAAAATTGTGAATTTTATTTATCAATATAATAAATTTGTTTTTTTTATTTCGCTCTATTGAAAATGAAATGATAACAAAATTATTTAAAACGTCTTTCAAATTCCGTCAAATGGGCCAAATAAGTCGGGTTTTCGGGTCAAATATCCAGATAATCCGGTAAAACCGACCCAAGATCTTAAGTCTTTTTTTACTTTCGCAGAGAAACCCTACTAAAACCCTTTGGCAACTTTCTCTGCCTCCATTTCTATGGCTTCGAATTTCTTGTTCATCAAGCCAATTTCTTCCTCTTAAATCCTCTTTACACCAATTTTTAAATCCCCTTAAAATCATTGAGAACCCTAGTCTGATTTCTCTTTAATTTCTCATTCCCTTTTGGGAAAAAATGGCTCAGAAACTTGCGATTGGTGTGATCTCAGCCCTAGCTGCCTCCGCTTCTCTCGCGCCGTCGAAATTCGCTGCTGCAGATGGACCTTTCACTTTCTCCGGCTTCTCCACCTCTCCGTCTGCTTCGATTCCTCAGCAGCAAGGTTCTTCTCCGCCGGCGCCGGAATCTGGAAAAGAACCGGCTGTTGCTGGCGAAGAATCTGATGCTCCTCCTCGGATTCGGAACAATAATCCGAGAACAACTTCAGCTGGGTTTGATCCGGAAGCGCTTGAGCGAGGAGCAAAGGCCTTGAAGGGGATCAACAACTCAGCTCATGCCAAAAAGGTCTTAAGAACTAACCCAATTCTGTCATTTGTAGATTCTATACATAGATAGAATCGGATAAGAGATTATAGATTCTCAAGTAGATAAGAGTTGTGTATGATGTAGCTAATGGAAGATAAGTTTGAGCTACTAAGTTTTCTTCTGGGATATGAAGTGTTTCTTTTTTCCTGTGTTTGTCAGTGATGTTTGGCCTCACAATTGATGGCTGCTTGGTTTCTGATAGGTATTTGAAAGTATTAAGACTCAAGAAGAGACGAGGCAGGCTGAGTTTACCGCTAAGGCGCAGGAGTTTAAAGCTATGCAATCCCAAGCTGAAGCTGTGAGTTCAACTTACTCTTGAGTTCATTGTCAATATATTTTTGACTACATGGTTTGGTCAGGTTGTACCTACTTATGAGGCGTTCTGGAGACAAATGTATCTATCTTTGTGTTTATGTTACTTATATCGTATATGTGTTCTTACAACTCTATGGTGAGCTACCAGAATCGAATTTGCAGGGACCTTGTTACTATATCCATTGCTGTTACATTTTTGTTGCATCATTCATTATTTACTTTGAAGATTCTTTTTTTGTAAAGTTATGTTCCTGACATTTTCCATTTCACAGGAGAGGCAAAGGGTAATATATGAGGAACAGAAGAAACTTGCTCAGCACCAAGCACAAACAAAGTCACAGATGGCCCGCTATGAAGATGAGTTAGCAAGAAAAAGGATGCAGGCATGTGATTCTACAGATACTTTTTTTTGTTTATTTAACTTTGGGAACTTTTATTCTCTCTAACAACTTATGCTGTTTATCTTGTTACAGGCTGAGAATGAGGCCCAGAGAACAAGAAACCAAGAACTTGTGAAAATGCAAGAAGAATCAGCAATTAGGCGGGAAGTAGCTCGACGAGCTACTGAAGAAGAGATTCAAGCACAGAGACGACAAACAGAGAGGGAGAAAGCTGAGATTGAACGTGAGACAATCAGGGTCAAAGCTATGGCAGAAGCTGAAGGGAGAGCTCGTGAATCAAAGCTTTCTGAGGATGTTAACAGGAGAATACTTGTTGATCGTGCAAATGCAGAAAGAGAGAAATGGGTTTCTGCCATCAATACTACATTCGATCATATTGGAGGTCAGACATTAATGATAAACAGTATCTTTCTATCGTTTTGTTTAATTCATTGTGGAAGCTTTCCTGTGGAAGTTTACCTTAGCAGTAATTAGAGTCTAATATAGGTAACTTGTGAGTATAATAGGCATGTGACTCTTTTAAATACATATATAAATACTCTTGTAAATAAATGATTGACTTTTTACTGGTTTTCCTAGGGGGCTTGCGTACCATTCTAACGGATCAAAATAAGCTAATTGTTGCTGTTGGAGGTCTAACCGCTCTTGCAGCTGGGATCTACACAACGAGGTAAAGACTATAAATGGTTGAGAAAAAAGTGCCACTCATGACTAGGTTGAGGAACTCAGTCATCTTATAGATTGCTTGTTGCAGAGAAGGTGCCAAGGTTATCTGGAGCTACGTGGATAGAATATTAGGACAACCTTCTCTAATTAGAGAATCATCAAGAGGAAAGTACCCTTGGTCTGGTTCCGCTTCTCGTGTCTTGTCCACATTGCGGGGTGGTGGTAAGGAGTCTACTTCCAAAAATGGAAAAGGGTTTGGTGATGTTATTTTGCGTCCTGCTCTTGAAAAGAGAATCGAACAGCTAGCTAATGCAACTGCCAACACAAAAGCCCACCAAGCACCTTTCCGAAATATACTTTTCTACGGTCCACCAGGAACAGGGAAGACAATGGCTGCCCGAGAGCTGGCTCGTAGATCTGTATGTATTCTCGACATTTCTGATGCTTACAGTTATTATATCATGTATAAAGCGTAGATGCATTCTTCAAATCAAGATCTTAGTTCTAGGTTACCCATGGGCATTAAAATTGTAGAATCTCAGGCTTGTTATTTCAATAATCACTTACGTCCTTTGATCTGTTACCATTCAGGGTCTAGATTATGCATTGATGACGGGTGGAGATGTTGCTCCACTTGGAGCTCAGGCTGTAACAAAGATACACCAACTGTTTGACTGGTCCAAAAAATCTAAGAGAGGCTTGTTGCTCTTCATCGATGAAGCCGATGCATTTCTGTGCGAGTAAGTCGCAAATCAGATGCTGATGATAATTAAACTTAACTCAGGGATTTGAGTTATTAATGTGTTGATTTGATTGCAAATTTGACAGGCGTAACAAAACATACATGAGCGAAGCCCAAAGGAGTGCACTAAATGCACTCCTCTTCCGCACGGGTGACCAGTCCAAAGACATAGTCCTAGCGCTTGCCACAAACAGACCTGGTGATCTAGACTCAGCAGTGTCTGACCGTATCGATGAGACTCTTGAATTCCCCTTGCCTGGAGAAGAAGAGCGCTTCAAGCTTCTAAACCTCTATCTAGAGAAGTACATATCTAAGGCTAATCTAAAAAAGCCGGGTTTGCTCCAAAGCATTTTCAAAAAAGAGCAGCAGAAAATTGAGATAAAAGGCATTACTGAGGATCTCCTGAAGGAAGCTGCCGCCAAAACAAAAGGGTTTTCGGGTAGAGAAATTGCGAAATTGATGGCAAGCGTTCAAGCTGCTGTGTATGGAAGCGCAAACTGCTTATTGGACGCAAACCTTTTCAGAGAGGTCATTGATTACAAAGTCGCAGAGCATCAACAGAGAAAAAAACTAGCTGGAGCTGATGCAGGTAACAAGAAATGAATTCATATAAGCTTATCATCAACACAGATATCTGCAGGTGTAGATTTGAACAACACTCAAAAACTCAAAACCCTGAGCATTATTCTCAAAAGGGTTTAGGCAGAAAAAACTTTTCTCATTTCCAAATTGTTTCTCCATGACTGCTTTAGATTCTTTTTTTTCTTAGCCATTACAATCTTGAGTTGATCTTATCATATCACTCCTTGGAAAAGGAGGCAATACCTGTCTTTTTGTGAGACACTTCCCAGTTCTGACCATCATAGCTTTTGACCTCGACGTGATCCAGTGTCCCTGACTTGACACACTTAACTGTGACAGCGACTCCATCGGGGTTAGACCTCGGGATATAAAACGATGTGATCCCACAAACCTTGCAGAAGGTATGCTTGGCCGTGTGAGTCCCAAAAGTGTAAGTAGTAATGAAGTCTTTGGAATCATCAAGAAGTTCAAAGTTGCTTGAAGGAACGATAAAGTGAACATTGCCTCTCATTGAACAATCTGAGCAATTGCATCTCCAAGCCACCACACTTGTTGCTGCTTTAACTCTCCATTTCACTTTCCCACAATGACATCCACCTTCATGAAGTATCAACTCTGATTCCATGCCTAATTATTGCTTGAATCTACAATCAAATCCTCGTAAGAGAAAAATATTAATAATTTACCCAGAAAAATTAATACGATCTGCAATAGTTGATCTAAAGAAAAGAAAAAATTAATAGAATCGAACCAGATTTTGTTGAACAGTGTGTATATTTAGCGATCGATGAAAATTCTCAAATTTTGTTCAACGAAAGTCAATGAAAGAGAATACAAAGTTCTGCTGCAAGTGAGACTTTCTCCTTCCACACGCTAAGGTGGTGTTGGTGTTTTTAGCTCCGCTAATTGGGTCTTAAATGGGCTTTTAATGGGCCTAAAACAGGTTACAATTTTCATTTCCGAAGAGGCGGTGACACTGCCCTAATTCACACACCACATCTAAGATCACGACTTTGATCCAGCTGAACTGGAATTGAGATTTGTTAGGCGATTAAAAATGGCAAGTGAAGAAGCAAAGGATCCATGGAAAGGAGAAGAGTGGGGGATTGAGAATGAGAAGACGAAGAAGCCAACAAGTGGTGGTGGTGGTGTGAAAACGGTGACGAGAGCGAGAAAACAAACGCCGAGGGGACTTGAAGAGAAATACGAAGCTTACTTCCTACCGCGAAAGCCATGGCCGAGGGCTCTTGCTTACTATGGAAGTTTTATCCTTGGTGGGATTGGTGCTGGTATGGTTATTGAAGCTTGGATCAACAAAAAAGTCAAAGAAGATGGAGGAGTCATTTGGGAATTCGACAAGTGAACTGCTCCATATGGGTTTATCTGATGATAAATAAGAATCTAAGGAACAGCGAGAGTTTGTTTACTTACTCTCAACACAAATCCCTAGATTGGATCATTTTGTTTGTTCTAGAATTCAGAATTTGAAGGGGTTTCGTTGAACTCAACGGTAAACTTTATAAAATCTTGTTGAACCCATAATGCATTGAAGATGTTCGACGAAATGCTTTCTGTTACAGTTGGATATATTAAAGTTTACCTAATGCCTTTCGATCTTTTGATTAAATCACTTCACGTCTGAATGATTTCGAAGAGAAAACTAATTAGCATTTGCTGTATTGAGAGGGAGAGGGAGAATGTTGTAAGTAACAGAGAGATTTTGCGGTAAGAAAATATTCATGACACACTATTCTTTAAGAACTTGAAGAAGAAGAAAACACTACATCTCAAGTTCAATGAATTCAGCAACAAACGAGCAAGCCTAGAATATCAAGACACTGACTATAAGTGAAGGGTCTACTACTACCTCCGAAACATACCGGAACTTTGAAGAGCCCTACTGTACTCTGCAATGATCGGAGAATTCTTCACCATCTCCCATATCTTTGCTGAGTTTTTCAGCCACTCCCGTTCAGAGACTGGTCTTGAAAAGGACGTAGATTTAGAAGACAAAACCTGTGATAAACCCGAACACTAGTTCTTGAGCGTGTTCATGTGGATGAATGTGCACATGCGTGGATAATCCACAAAGTCCGAGAGATATAAAGAGGAGGACGAAGAGGGAGAGAGACATACCTGATCCCTTAGTTTCCACATTGCTAATTGATAACTCTCGTGCTGGTTTCTCGAGCTTTTAGATGGAATCACAGAAGAAACCGGCTCGACTAACTCCGACCCATTCCTTCCTGCTGTGAATGAACTTGATTCGAAATACTGCGCCAGTGCCTTTCTTAGTTGCAAGATATTCTTTGGAGAGAGATCTTGATCCTGAAGCCTGCAAAGATGAAGTAGGACGAGCAGTGAGCTGATAATTCATATAGATTTGTTAGAATTACCCTACAATTTCTCATCTAACACACCGACTAGACTACATTTTATTTAGTAATAGCTAAGTAGAATCACATTTAATTAACAGACGTTCAACAAACATTATTGTATAAAAAAACAAGCAATAGAGGATAATGCATTAGTTCACAAGGCTATAAGATTTGTATTTTATGGTGATATAAAATCAAGACACCAACAAAAGGAGACTCACTTTGAGTGCACAAATATGGGAGTAGCCATATATTCATTTCCCTCAGATAATTTGTCCTTAAATTCCATTTCAGGCCCAATCTCAGAGATCTGTAGACGGGAAAGTGCAGGAGAAGATGGATCAGGTATTGCATGCTTCAACAAATCCACCTGCAGAAAAAAGAGAAGACGCATGATCATATGAACAATGATTCGTGAAATCCCTGTAAAGAGATCCTCTACCATAGTACCACACGGGCGTTTCTGCATCATTTGCTAGGAAAAGAATTTGCATGGTTTCCGGTTTTAAGCTAAAAGCCCCTATATATTAACGTTCAGATCCTTTACAATTTATCTATAATTAGACATACCAATTTTTCTAGCACTCCCAGCTTGAGTTGTTTTCAGAAGTTTCCAGTTTAAAGTCATCAATATGTATAAACGACACTACTCCCTAAATATGTTTACTGTATTTGTCAACTGTTCATATATTCATCGATTTAAGTATGGTGGAACATTACCAGCTGCAACAAAGTATTTGCATCAAGTTAAATTAGATTCAGTGTCCGCTCTTAATGATATGTCGCATCTTTTTGTTACCTCTATCCATGATATGAACCATAATAGCATGAAAAATAGAGAACCAGCATCATCTAAGACTAAAAAATAATACGACACAAGGTTAAAAATAGAGATACCGTTGACATCAGATGCCACATGTTATCTTCATGAACTCCTTCAGATACCACCAGCAACACGTGACAAATGGATGCTAAGAGGACACCAAGCTAGAATTGTTCCTTGCACCAGCCCAAAATGAAAACGATTAGATTAGATCTCTACCCCAATTAAATACCCAACACCAGGAGCAAAGCCATCTATAGGGAAACGAAAGTAGATGGAAAATGAAACAGTGGGAGAAAAACAACGATAAACAATAAGTGAAGTGCTAAAACATTCATCAAGTGAGATGTCTCTGTCAAGTCTCCCAGTTACCTGGATGCACATGATTTCGTGAGCCAACTCAGCCGACAGAGAGTCACTGCCCAAGACTGGTACTGAGGATGAACTATCAGGTCTGATAATCTCAGCCAATATGGATGGACTGAAAACAGGCTGCAGAACAGAATTGGAGGATATTGATGAGAAACTAAAGCTAAGTCTGTGAAATAGCATCCACTTTACTAAAAGGCATTCAAACGAAATTGGTTTTTAAACAAGATGATTCCCCACTCAAGAACAAGAAAAAAGTAAATACACTAAAAATAACAACTGCACAAACCTGAACATCAAGAAGGATGAACCTCTCAGCGGAAACTCTTGGTTCAATGCCAATAGTACAATGTTTTGCCGCTGCTTTGATCTCGTCAGACTGTACAGAAAATGGCGGTAGCATTCCTACAAAGTAACAGCCTTGTATAAAGTTTTGTTAAACTTGGAAGAAGAGAACCTAGCCAATTCCAGAGGCAAATCCTATGACTAAAATTCTTGACTACAACCAAACTGCTATTCTTATGTATAAGATCCAAGAAAACACCAAATATATGATATTTTCTTCTGTGAATACTAACCAGGGGAGCTCCCATCAAAGGCGTAGATTGCATTCAAAATTGTCGATTTGCCAACACCCGGAGGTCCAATCACTCCAACCACCGTGAAGTCTGTATTCTCAGTAAGGAACTGTTCAAAAAAAAAAAAATCAATTGAGTCAATGATCTCTACTTAGATAAAAGGAGTCATCTTAAGCTTCGAAGGATGATTTAACTAAGCATAAGATCTCTAGCACATAATCAGACAGATCAAGCATGGTAACTATATCAAAAGAATTCAAAATCTCAACTTCGTTCAATTCAATCACTACTAACGAAGAAGAATAAAACGAGAGAGAGGGAATTACAGGGAGAAAGCGATCGATGTGAAAATCCCAAGAATCGGAGAGCATATTCAGAGAGCTAACAGGAGGGAGACGAGAGCGGTGCGAAGCATTATCGTCGTCGGAGTTGCCGCGTCCGAATTTACCGGTAATCGGAGAAACGGACGGTTTAGCAAGAAGGATTTTAGGAGCTGCCGGTGATGACATTTGGCTTCCGCCTGAAGAACCAGCCATCGTAGATTACGACAAATGCTAAGCCAGACACGACGATGGTTTCCGACGTCGCGATTAGGGTACTTAACCGCGAAATCTGTTTGCCAATCTCGACGGACTTGTGTAATGAGAATTTCTCTAGGATTTTTTTTTTTTTTCAAGTTTCCTCCGGACAGTACTTTTTTTTTGTAAAAGTTTTTCCGGACAAGTACTTCTAAACACTAAAATCAATTTGGACGGTTGAACCAATCCAAACCAAATCAAACCAAAGATCGATATCATGGTCTCTTGTATTTATTTCATAATTTAGGCTAATTATTACATCTTTGATATCGAATCCTGATAACTTGTAATGTTGCAGAAGAAACTCCACCAAATACTTATGCTTCAACAATTTCATATCGTAAGGACATATCCAACTTCCGACACACCACTTACCGAACAAGTAAGTACTCTCAAATATATCACTTAAGATGGCGAAACCACGACAAGTTGTTTCCCGACGTTTTTACCGTGAAAGAGTCCAACGAGAGCAGCAGGAGCACTCTCGATCCCATCAGCAACATCTTCCACATACGTTATCTTACCTTCTCTTATATACGGAACCACAAACTCCAAGAATTCTGAGTATTTGTCGAAGTAATCGAAACAGTTAAACCCTTCGATACGGATTCTTTTGTAGGTAATGAGCGAGAGCCCGTATATGCCTTCCGGATTCTTCAGATTGTACTGTGAGATCATCCCACATGCCGCGATACGGCCGTGTGGTCTCATGTTTAAGATCACTGCATCCAGCATCTTGCCTCCCACGTTCTCAAAGTATATGTCAATGCCTTCAGGGAAACACCTAGAAAAGAGAGAATTGATCTTTTCATATTAGTTGTTCTTGATTTGTGGATACAAGAAATCTTAATTTGCGTTACCTTTTTAGGGCAGCAATAAGATTGTGTTCTTCTTTGTAGTTGAATGCATCATCGAATCCAAACTTGTTCTTGAGGAGATCAACCTAAAGAAGCTCAACAAATCAGGATCCAAATAAGAAAGCTAGATCGTTTCTAGTAACGTCCTACCTTTTCTTTACTTCCAGCACTTCCAACAACATAACAACCCATCATCTTAGCAAATTGTCCTACAAGCTGACCAACCGCGCCAGAGGCAGCTGACACAAACACGGTATCTCCTTTCTTTGGAGAACAGATCTCGTAAAACCCAACATATGCGGTCATACCAGGCATACCTGTCAAGGAACAGGAGAGGATGAAAATTAACAATACCAAGACGTAGAGGAAGGAGAATCAACAATACCAAGAAGTCCAGTGTAGTAAGATAAGGGAAAATCGGTATGATGGATTTTGAAGTGAAGATTAGGAATTGGTGTGATAACACTGTACTCTTCCCATCCTACTGCTCCCCAAAGTAAGTCACCTTCTTCGTAATCTGAGTGTCCAGAATCTATCACTTTAGACACTCCAAACCCTGAGATAGGCTGCACAACACAACATAAATTTCTCCCAAATTTAATCATGACGAAACAGAGCTTTATAGATACGTGGATTGGCCCATATCCCTCATATACTAGTGTTGGTCCCTTCAAACATCCGATGTGGGATCCTAACAGTAACCAAACAGACCTCAAACGGAATTTAAAAATGGTTTTCCAAATTGTAAATGCTTCTGAGCTCGAAACTTAGTCATGACGACGAAGCAGAGTTTTACCTTGCCGGGAGTGAAGGACTGAGCAGTAGCAGGGCTCAAAGGATCAGGTTTTCTCATACGATTCCGCATGTAAGGATCGCAAGACAAGTAGAGATTCTTCACCAACGCCGTCATAGATCCCTTCGGCACCCTAAGATCGACGGTGGTGGAGGTGATTACAAGGTCGGATTCGTTGGCAAAACCGGTTACGTAATCACGTAATACGACTTGCTTGTTGATCATCGTCTCCATTTTTTAGAATAGGTTTGTTTTTGGTTCTTCATCGTCTTTATTTCTCTCTACTTATATAAGCTCTTCTACGGTTAGTGCGGTTAGTAAAGCCACAAGTTGAGGAGATAATCTTTTTATTTGCTAATCTACTATACTAACCATGCAAAACTTATGAAGCCAAACTTAGTTGTATTAAGCATAATTTCTTGCGCTATTATGTGTGATGCACACAATGTGGGGATTAACTGTATCTTGATTTATTTTTAAAGAGCAAATCCAAACGCAAAGATGAACCAAAACCGAATTTTATATCTATATAGATTCGAAACCTTAACAAACATTATTTTTATCCATAAAACATAAACCACCCACACAAACTCTTGTACAAGTATCAAACATTGTTTCACTCACGAGCAACAACAACAACTTGTTTCCCAACATTCTTACCATGGAAGAGTCCAACGAGAGCTTCAGGAGCTTTCTCTAGCCCATCAGCTACATCTTCCACGTACGTTATCTTCCCTTCTCTAATGTGCGGAAGCACAAACTCCAAGAACTTTGAGTATTTGTCATAGAAATCAAAAACTACAAAGCCTTGAATGCGGATTCGTTTGTAGATTATGTTGGATAGGTTGTGTACACCTTCCTGGTTCTCAAGATTGTACTGTGAGATCATTCCACAGACAGCGATACGCCCGTGTGGGTTCATGTTTACGAGCACTGCGTTTAGCATTTTGCCTCCTACATTCTCAAAGTATATGTCAATGCCATTAGGGAAACACCTGGAAAAGAAAAGGAGAATATTTCTTAGATTAGTCAAAAAGCAATTGATTAGATATTAATCAATTGAGTTTATCCCCAATTAAGTGGTTTCACAGGTAGAATCATGGTGTTCATGCTATTATCCATTTCTTTTGTTTCTACTTTAGTTTTGAATTCTGGCTTTATTATGCAAACCGATCCTAACAGTTATAGACATCAAACAGTTCAAAATTAGTGGTAATTAACCAAACCTTTTGAGGGCAGCAGTAAGGTCAGGTTCTTCCTTGTAGTTAAATGCATCATCAAACCCAAACTTGGTCTTGAGGAGATCAACCTAAAAAGAAGTAAAGGGGTAATCATTCTCTTGAATGAGAACTAAGAAACATAAGGAAACAAATCATGGAAATGATGATCAAATTCTCACCTTTTCTTTGCTACCAGCGCTTCCAACAACATAGCAGCCCAACATCTTAGCAAATTGCCCCACAAGCTGACCAACCGCACCAGATGCAGCTGACACATAAACTGTCTCTCCTTTCTTTGGAGAACAAACTTCATAAAACCCAGCATAGGCGGTCATACCGGGCATACCTGTCAGGACAGGACAAAACCCATCAGAGAGTGAATATATGAAACAGATCAACAAACCAAACAGTTGAAACTCTAGTCTTCTAGCTAGATTGAAGTTATAACTAATTCCATTCCTATGTTTCAAAGATTTGTTAGACATCCATAACGATTATGACATTCAACTACATGATCTTTGTCTCAAGCCAAAACTTTGTATGAAGAAGCAGAGATTTCCAAAGTTTACAGAATGATTCCACTTACAAAACCATGAAAACGGCAGAGATTAACATACCGAGAAGTCCCGTGTAGTAAGATAATGGAACATCGGTATGCTGGATCTTGAAATGCACGTGAGGTGTTGGAGTGATAACAGAGTACTCCTCCCATGCAACTATACCCCAGAGTAAGTCTCCTTTTTTGTAATCTGGATGTCCAGATTCTACCACTCTGGACACTACATACCCTTGGATTGGCTGCACCAAAACACACAATGGGAATTAAAAACAGTCAACAAGATAGAGATAGCAAAAAGTAAAACCCAAAGAGACACAATTTATTCTCAGAGTCATCTTCAAGAACACCAAACCGTCATCACAAAAAGTATACTATTATTATAATAAGATATTGTTCTGTTCACAAAGTATAAGTATTTATATGCCAAAAGAGAATTCAAATAATAATCATGCAAACCAAACCAAACATTATCATCATAGTCGATGGTACCTGGCCGGGAGTGTAAGCTTGAGCAAGAGCAGCAGTGGAAGGATCAGGTTTCCCCATGCGAATCCTCATGTAAGGATCGCATGACAAGTAGAGATTCTTCACCAGAACCAAGTTAGAACCTTCCGGAACCTTAAGTTCGACGGTGGTGGTTGTGAAATCGAAATCGGATTCCTTAGGGAAACCATTCACGTAGTCTTTCAATATGACCTGCTTGTTCGTCGCCGTCATCGTTAACTCTTCTTCCTCGATTCAACTTCTGACTTCACCCATTTGTTACTTCTTCTTCGGTTTTTCGAGGACGTGGCTGTTTTTATAGTGACATCTCCTGTGTGCCACTAATCAATCTCATGATATCAACTTATCAAGTATGACGTCACTGCTTATGTTTATTATTTATCAGATACTTTCTCTTTCGAGGCTTCGAGCGTTTTTTTTTTTTTCACATTTTTGGTATATATCTCCTTTCACGTTTTCATTTTTTTTTTTTTTTTTTTTTTTTTTTGAAGTAGTAGTATTAAATTTCTCATTAATGATATATGAATATCTAGAAGTAGTAGTATTAAATTTCTCAATAATGAAGTAGTACTCCCTCCGTTTCGTTTTAGTTGTCGTTTAAGGTTTTTTCACACAAATTAAGAAAGCATTAAATTTTCTGTTTTACTCTTTATTAATATATTTTATAAAAAAATTCATTGGCCAAAACATTAAAACTGTAGGGATAAAACTGGAATTTTCACCAAACATTTGCATTGAAAACCTAAAACGACAACTATTATGAAACAAAATTTAAATCCTAAAACGACAACTAAACTGAAACGGAGGGAGTAGTACACTACAGATGTAAAAAACTTGAGCGTTTTTTATCCTTTTAAACTGTAGTAGTATTAAATTTCTCACTAATGATATCTGAATTTTTTTTGTATCGGGCTATATATTTTGTTAAAACTTCAGTGATCTCTCTAAAGTCTAAACGTAACACTGTGGTTAATCCAGATTCAATAGCTCTATTGGTAGTCTGGTACTAGCAGACTTTCCAAAGAAAATTTGCCTCAAGGTCTTCGCTATTATAGAGAAAAACTTGCTTTGATCCTCGACCAGAGGGGAGGGTACCTACGGACCTGAAACCCATAATGGCATAATCTTTGAGTTGCCAAAATTTAAACACGTTGTGGTCAATATCCTCATTTGTGGTCACCTAACTGACAAAATTGGGTAGTTTACTAATTTACCAGAGAGACAACACATATGACATATCTCACCAAACCTACAAAACAGTATCCCAGCTTCCCAATAGTTCCCGCAAAACAGAGCCATGTAATTGTGATTTTGATGTTAGCAGCAACACTAACTGTAGTCATTGATGTTTAAACACGCATACTGGGGAGTTGGGAATATGAGCTACAAAACATGGGTTTGTATTTTTCTTTTTTTTTTTGGATTTGTGAGAGAGGTTTGGGCTTCTTTGTTACTACTTCCATACATTTTATGAACAATTCACATAAAACCAATAACAAACAAATTCATATTACTGTATATTAAAATTTACTATATTTACTCTTTATTATTCATAAACCAGAAACTCACGGTTAGGTTCAACAGCCATACAAAATATTGTTGGATAAATATAACATTACTCCCAAATAAGTATTCTTCAATCACGCTCAATACAACATTACTCCCAAATAAGTATTCTTCACTCACGAGCAACAACGACAACTTGTTTCCCAACGTTCTTACCATGGAAGAGTCCCACAAGCGCTTCAGGACCTTTCTCAAGCCCATCAGCTACATCTTCCACATACGTTATCTTCCCTTCTTTAATGCACGGAAGCACAAACTCCAAGAACTTTGAGTATTTGTCGTAGTAATCAAACACTGCAAAGCCTTGAATGCGGATTCGTTTGTAGATTATGTTGGATAGGTTGTGTACACCTTCTTGGTTTTCAAGATTGTACTGTGAGATCATTCCACACACAGCGATACGTCCGTGTGGGTTCATGTTTAAGAGCACTGCGTCTAGCATTTTGCCTCCTACGTTCTCAAAGTATATGTCTATGCCTTTGGGGAAACACCTGGAAAAAGAAGAAGAAGAGAATCTCTCTTAGATTAGTAACAGAGCAGTCGATAAGATATCAATCAAGATAAAACCGTTTTTTTTTAATTCACAAAAATGTTCTAATTACGGATTACGGAGTTTCATTGTATTTTTCTCCATTCTTAAGTGGTTTTCCACTTAGAACCATGCTTTTATCCATTTCTCTCGTTTCTACTTTAGTTGTGAATTGCCGCGTTATTCTGCACACTAATCCTCACACTTATAGACATCAAACAGTTCAAAATAAGTGGTAACCGAACCTTTTCAGGGCAGCACTAAGGTCTGGTTCTTCCTTGTAGTTAAATGCATCATCAAACCCAAACTTGGTCTTGAGGAGATCAACCTAACAAATCCCCAAAAAAGAAGTAAAAGGGCTAATCAATCTCTTGAAGGATAACCAAGAAGCATAAGGAAACAAATATGGAAGTGATGATCAAATTCTCACCTTTTCTTTGCTACCGGCGCTTCCAACAACATAACAGCCCATCATCTTAGCAAGTTGTCCCACAAGCTGACCAACCGCACCAGATGCAGCAGACACATAAACCGTCTCTCCTTTCTTTGGGGAACAAACTTCATAAAACCCAGCATAGGCAGTCATACCAGGCATACCTGTCAGGAACAGAGAAAACTCATGAGGAGAGAATACATTAAACAGACTTGACTCCTTGTAAATTGAAGTTTAGAACTCAACATAAGTGAGTTTCTAATCAACAAAACTATTATACAGGGTTATGACATTTCAACTTCATGATCCCTGCTGTATTCTGAAGTTTCACCAAGTGATTCCCGTTACAAAACCAGAACAAGGCCGAGATTAACATACCGAGAAGTCCAGTATAGTAGGATAATGGAACATCGGTATGCTGGATCTTGAAATGAACTTGAGGTGTTGGAGTGATAACACTGTACTCCTCCCATCCAACTATCCCCCAGAGTAAATCACC